CAAATAAGGGCTTGGGAGAAGGATTCCTACCCTGGAGGGAGGGGACAAAGGCATGGCAGAGGAGGCAGGACCTCCTGGAAGGATGCGCTTTGGGGGCTCTTGCCAGTAAAAGAGCCTGTAAGCCTCTTCCTGCCTAACTAGACTCCCTTGATCGGGGTCTGGGGCCATATCCCCAAGCCTCCTGGCCTGGTTGAGGTTCTGGAGTGGGCACATTGAAGAGAGAAACCTCTGCATTGTCCCACTGGCTCTCGCCTCATCCCCACCTGATAATGCCGTATTTCTACTTAGGAATACTCCAAAGGCACCCTTGGAAGCCCAAGTTAAGGCTCATCTTAATAAGCGCAATCCCAATCTCTGCTATCACTAGTTGGACGCTCGCCTTTGCCAGGCACGGCACAAAGCACCGTAGGACGCATTCTTCTTCCATCCTTACAGTAACCCATTGAAAACTCACTATTTTGAGACAGGGTCTCTGGTAGCTTAGGCTGGCCTCAGATTTATGATGTAGTTGAGGATGGCCTTAAAGTTCTAATCCTCCTGCCTCTGCCTTCTGAATGCTGGGATTACAGGCACAAGCCAACACACCTGGTTTGTGCCGTGCCAGAGATCGGACCCAGGACTTCGTGCCAACTGGGCAAGCATTCCAACGACCTGATCTACATGCTCGGCCCCAAATCATTATCTCTATTGTACAGAAGAAACAAAGGGTCAGATAAACCAGCTCTTTCCCCAGAGTCACATAGCTATGACGAGGAAGACAGGATCAAGACTAAAATCCACCAACCTGTGGAGTTTTCACTACCTTGGAGGACATCCCTGCTCCTCTGGGTCCCATAGCACCCATCTTTCATCCTGAGTTCCAGTGTCGCCATCCTGTGTCACAACTGGTTTGATTGAATGTATCACATTCTTAGCAGGTGCTTTCTATGTGCCAGAAACGTTATAACTAGACCGCCCCTGGGCTGGGGCGATTTTGCGTCTCCCAAGAACTCTATGTACTTCCTCTCCTGAGCTCCTCACCTTGCCCCATCTGGGTTGTTCGAGATCGCTGGGTGAGGCTGAGGTGTTACAGATCCCCTTTGATGGGCAGTCCTCCCCTTCAGGGGTCGTGTCTTCTACCTGCCCTGCAGCAGGAGATGAAGTGGTAAAACAAACTTGTTTTGTGTCTTCTGTGACTTTGGGCAAATAGTTAAGTAGATGTTCTAAGCTTCAGTTTCCCCAAGTCTCGAGAGAGAGTAATGACTGCACTAAAGGTGTGTTGGGATTGTCCCATGAACCAACATACTTGGAGGAGTTAGCGCTGCACGACACCCAATTACTGATTGATGCCCACCTCCTACTCAAGTATGTATGTATGTGCACATGCGTGCGGGTCCATGAGGAAGAGGCCAGATGACAAACTCAGAGGCCATCCCTCAGGAGCCATTCATCTTGTGTTTTTGAGCCAGGCTCTCTCATTGGCTAAGGGCTTTCCCAGTAGGCTAGGCTCGCTGGCCAGCAAGCTCTAGGGATCTGCTGGTTTCTGCCTCCCCAACACTGGATTAGACTACGCAGTGAACACCAACACTCCTGGCTTCTCCACTTAGCTTCTGGGGATTGAACCAAAGCCCTGATGCCTACGTAGCAAGCACTTTATCAACTGAACTACTGCCCCAGGCTCGCACTTACTGTTTGCTGAAACAATGGTACTGTGTTTCAGATACTAAAGTCCTAGTACATAGTAGATGCTCAAAGAAAGTAAACAGGTACTCTGGGGTCAGCAGATAGAAACTTTCAGTCACAGACCGGCAGTGGTAGTACTTGTCTTTAATCCCAGCACTCGGGGGGCAGAGGCAGGCTGATCTCTGTGAGTTTGAGGCCAGCCTGGCCTACAGAGCAAGTTCCAGGACATCCACAGTTACAGAGAGAAATCCTGTCTTTAACCCCACCCCTGACCCCCAAAAGAAAAAAAGGAAAGAAACTGTCAGTCATTGCCCTCCACAGATTGGCTGGCCATGTCTGTTCTGATGCGGAAGACACCTCTAACACTGCTCCTCAACAGCACGGTTACTGGGAAGCCACGCGCAGGCACAGGCCTTGCCCACAGCTTCAGCATCTACGCAGAGAGGAAGGAACGGTCGCGGCTGCTCTTCAAGGCTGTCTGGCTTTCTGTTGGCGCCATCTAGTGGTGAGTGCAGTGAGGCTCCCGGCAGGTCTGTAGTAGAGGTGCCAGGGATCGCTGCGTCCGTGCATCTTCACAGGTGCTTCCAATCCTTATTCATGAAGACCCAAGGACTCCATCCTCATACACAAGGCAGATGGAGACCTGAATTCCTGGTTTCTTCACCTTCCTTTCTGGCCTTGCACCAAACTCTGAGACTGGACTCCACAGATCTACACTCTGGACATCACTACGGGACTCTACCGTGGTTTTTCAAGGCCAAAGCTGTAGGAAACGGCTTCTTTCTGGTTCAAGACATCCCAGGAATGGGGAAACTGGTGACAGTTACTCTGCTGTCTCTGGGCTCCATTGTAAGCAAGCTGAGTTTTCAGAAGCACTGACCTAGCTTCTCCGTCCACTACAAACAAGCAAGGATGCTCAGCCTAGCCCAAGGCTGTTAGTATAAGCACTGAGGGAGAACCAGTGGACAGAACCAGGGGGATAGTTCTGCTTCCAGATCCAGCACAAATACTGTGTGAGCCTGGGAAAGCCCCTGTGAACCTGGGAAGGCCCATCCTCTCTGAACTTCAACCCTGGATGGGGCGTGGACTATGTGAAGCAAAGATCTCTGTAGCTTCCAGACTGGCTTGTATTAAAAATGAAGACTCCTGGGTTTCCTGCGCCAATATCTCTGGACTAAAACACTGGGAATAGATCGACACCCACCTTCTCTTCTTGAGTATGTTCTGAGACTAGGTCTCTTGTATTCCGGACTGGCCTTGAATGTGATGTGTGGCTGAAGAGATCCCTGAACCCCTGGTCCTTTTGCTTCCACTTTGCAAGCGATGCCACCACAGTTTGCACTACTAGACTCTGTTATTTGGGAATCTCTATCAGCATACCATGTAGTTGGGTCCTGGGCAGCTGCGTTTTGTCCTTAGGGATTAGAAGGAAGGGTCCATGTTCTAGCAAGTAACAGGATGGATATTTCTGGGGTTCTGAAAGGCAGAGGAACCTCCATATCCTAGTACGTATTTTTCAATATCCTCACCTTATCGTGGGCTCCTCTATAGCAGTAGAAGAAAGCCAAGAACTAGCTAGGCTGCCTCCATTCACCCCTCAGCCAGGTCCTTTCGTTTGTTCAAAGAGGGGCTGGGACAGCTGGGGTGGGGGTGGGGGCTTGCTGCCCAAGGAGGTATTTTTCAGAGTCTCCCGCCCTCTGGAGTTTCCAAGGACAGCACAGAGCCCTCTCTAGTATTTGACCAAATATGGTGGTATCTCTCAAGGAGCTCACGCCCCAGCCAGCTCCTCAGTTATGCTGTGGAAACCTGCCCTGCACAGATTAATCTTGTGACATTCAGGAGTCTCTCACCCTGCCCTCCTCCTCTCCCTAGTTCTTGTAAATGGCCAAGACTGCCCCTCAGCAAGACAAGACAGGGGAGCTCGCCCACCCCTTCCTCCTCTGCTGCCCCCACCCCTGGGCACCCCCCAGGGAGTGTACTTACTGCTCGCCCACTTTCAGTTAACGGTTCACTCAAGGTGAGTGGCCTTAGCCACAGAGGGTTCACCGTCAGTTTAGCGTTTGGGGCCCCATGGACCCTGGGTCACCTGAGCTTATGAAGCTGGAACCCTCTTTAGGAAGGCTGCAGGCAGTGTCTCAGCCAGCAGGGTTGGTTTGAGAGGTACAAGGGCGAGGTGCAAAAGGCCCATGAGCCCTAATACTAAGACAGCTGCTGCTTATAATAAGAAACATAATAATTATAATCATTACAGCATGGTTTTATAATAAACAGTAAAGTGTTTATTGAATGCTTCCTCTGTGCCAAGCATTGTCAGCTATGACATGGCCTATTTCTTTATTCTTTGTAGCAGCCTCAAGAGATATGGAAACAGACGTAGACAGTCAGTAGGAGTCAGCAGGGGCTGCTACTCCTGGGATGTGACTCTCATTATATAGAGCATGGAACGAGAGTGAGAGAGAAGGAAGGTCATAAGCAGTTGTCAGACAGGGGATAGGCCCTGAAAGGGGAGATCTCTCATGCAAGATGGCAAATGTTACTCCCATGAAGGTTGTAAGAAGGTTACTTCCATGAAGCTTTTCGGTATCTGCACCTTGGCCTGGGTGGAGCACGCAGACTCGGAGACCTGTTCACGGAGGGCTAGAATTGTGCAGAAAATATCCGAACACAAACACTGTAGTGTGGCGTGTGGAGTTCTGGATCGGAACCAGGCCCAAATCCCAGCTCTGACATGGCTAATTCACTGTGGAATACTGGGCCAATTCCCTTCTTGCTCGGGCCTCAGTTTCCCTGCCTGTAACTAGAAGTGAGCTCACCTGAGGCTGGTTAGAGTACCTGAGGTGGTTTCCTTGGGAGATAGTACTGTCTGGCTCTGGACCAAGACAGTCTCAGTATTTTCTCTTCTGACCAACCAGCAGCCCATCCCTCCTCCCCCCTTCCCCCTTCCCCCTGGCCATCCCCAAAGCAAACGAAGCTGATTGTCTTAACTGGCGCTGTGGGTGCTGGCTGGTCAGCCGGCCGCAGGCCACAGGCAGAGGTGCCATCAGCCAGGGCCCCACCAGACACACAGGACATTGTCCTTCGGTCAACAGCCCCTGGGCACCTCAGGGCCTGGCTCCTGGCCTGCCCCCACACCCCTCACCGCCTGCCACTGTGCTAAGGCCCAGCCAGCTGGGGGCCCAAGGCTCCCAGCTGACAGTGAGCCCACCCACCCACACCCCCCAGCAGCCCCCCGTGGAGCTATAATTGCCTCAGTCCATCCTGTTGCTGCTATTCTCTCTCTGCGGCATCTGGGGTTCCTGGCCGGTGGCAGCTGCAGGCCTGCTGCCTGGCTTGGTGGGATGGACTGGCCACACAGCCTGGTACGTGGTGCTCCCTTCTCTGTAGCTGTTCTTTCCCCCATTGATTAATGGCTGCCTGTGTTTGGCTTGGAATCTGCAGGGACCAGCTCTGTCCTCTCCTTCAGGCCCATAGAGAAACAGAGCCTGGTCTCAGCCTGCAGTCATGACCTAAGGCTTGGGCTACGGCTCTGGGCATAGCCTGGTCACACTGAACTCTTTCAGGAGGAAGTGTCCCGGGTGATCTGGGCAGACTCGGGCACTAGAGCTTTTCCAGACCTGGCTTCTGCGATCTGGGCAGCGTGCATGATCTTGGGCAAATCCTTCTGTCTTTGTTACCCATCTGGAAACTGAGGGAGGGGATGTTGAATTTGGTCTGTTTCCCCTGCAAGGTGAGTTGAGGAACGTGTGGGCAGCTCAGCCGAGTCGGCCTGCAGTGAGGGAAATATTTCTGCTGCAGAACGTAGGACCAAAGGGAAGAATTTAGCAACCTAATTCACTGCTATGGCTTTTATGCCAGCAAGTGGCTCTGCCAAGAGGGGCTAGGCTGGGACTTGTTTCTAAGGGTCAAGCTTGCTGGGTAGCCTGGATGATAAACCAGGCCTGTCCCCCTCCCGCCTCCCCCCAACCCCCGTGGGCCAAGATGCAGGGAAGGCACAGAGTCTGGTAAGACTCCGAAATGGAATGAGAAACAGTGAGCTGGAATAAGGTGTGAGGTAGGTTGTCTGGTGCTGAGGTGGAGGGGGTGGTGTGTGTGTGTGTGTGTGTGTGTGTGTGTGTGTGTGTGTGTGACAGAGAGGGAGAGGGAGAGAGATCTGGAAATGAAGTCTTACAGGAACCACGCGCCAGCTCCGCCAGCTCCATGCAGTGTTCCTTCTCGCCCACTCTGTTTCAACTCATTTCCTCTCGGCAAAACCTATAAGCGGCTCAACCCCCCTCTCAATCGTCCGCGTCCCTGGAAGACTTTAGGCTGCTTCTGCTCACGAATCCTCTTTCTTATTCCATTGATGAGTCTCCAGAGAAGCTGGGCCCAGCCACCCTGCTGCCCCAACGGAGAGCCCTGCTCCCCAGCCATGCCTGCCCTTGCCACTCTGCTACCTTTCTGCTCCACCCCCACAGTTAACAGCACTGAGGTCCCTGAGGTCCTGGGCAGGTGTGGTGTTGGAATCCGTTCACTCTGCAGATGCAGGCACAAGGGGATAAGATGCATGGAAGGGAGTCTATCCCTGGGGGGAACAGCTAAGGAGATATCAAAGAATCACATGTCCAAGTACAATTGCGGACGTGTTAGGGACATGTGGGGCATGGCGACTCCAAGATGTCCAGAAGCAACGCTGAGGCAGTGACCTAGAGCCCACAGCTGGGCAAGGTTTTCAGAAGGTGGAAGGAAAAGGCAGGACTTGGTGGGCAGGGTGCAAACTCCCTCCCACAGAAAGGAACATGGTGAGCACAAGAGCAGAGGAGGCCAGAAGGGATACAGGAGACCCCCGCCCCCAGAGGGCCTCAGGAAGGACATTAAGAGGGAAGGTGGCAATGTCAGAAACGCTTTTCAATGGCCGCCACTGGCCTTGATACGGTGAGTTGGTTAGGAGCCAGGCAGGCTTGGGAAAGCCAGTTGGGAGGGGGTGGAGCTGTCCTGGGAAGCAACTATGGTCTGCAGATTGAGTAACTAGAGTGGGCAGGGGGATTTTCTGGAGGTACCTGATTTCAAGGACTTCAAGATGCGGGAGTGTCATCAGTGCCCAACACAAGTGTCCATACACAAGGTGGCCAACACAGAGGCCTCTCTCTTCTTTGCCCTAACCCTAAGCCTTGGCCCAGAGAGACTTGGTTCTGGCCTCTGACCAATAGCCTTCTTTCTCAGCTGCTCCTTCTTGCCATCTCTATCTTCCTGGGGCCAAGCCAGCCCCGAAACACCAAAGGCAAAAGGAAGGGGCAAGGGCGGCCTGGCCCCTTGGCCCCTGGACCTCACCAGGTGCCACTGGACCTGGTCTCTCGCGTAAAGCCCTACGCTCGAATGGAAGAGTATGAGAGGAACCTTGGAGAGATGGTGGCTCAGCTGAGGAACAGCTCTGAGACAGCCAAGAGGAAATGCGAGGTCAACCTGCAGCTGTGGCTGTCCAACAAGAGAAGCCTGTCTCCTTGGGGATACAGGTAGGTGGGCTGGGCCCAGCAGGCCACCGTTTCCACTGTCCCAGATGCTGTGTTTAAGACCTGGGATTCAGGTGAATTTAATCTCTCTTCCGTATCTTTCGGCTAGTTGAATAGCTTTGCTGAGCCTCAGTTTCTCCAGCTGTCAGTGGAATAATAATAATGGTGGTATGTCCTTCACAGATAGACATACACAGTGCTGTCTTTTTTTCCTCCGGGTCTCATATGTAGGGCTTCCAAAGTACTTTGTCCAGCATGGTGGTTTATGCCTGCTGGCTACGCTCACACTTTTCACATCAGACAGGTTCCTTCTTAAAATCTGCCTCAGAACCACCTCAGTGTTCCCGTGTTCACCCAGTCAGAATCCCTAGGACTGATGCCCGGATCACAGAGTTGCGCCTGCCTCTCCATGCTTAGGGTACATGGCCCCTGCTTTGACTTGGGGATCACTTTGAGGCCCTGGGTTACAGAGGCAATGTCTGCGTGTCATTCTCCACCTCCTAGGTCAGCGTGCAGAAGAGGCCCAAGGTCCACGGATTCGATGGAGTGAAGAAATAGCTAGCTCGCTCACAAACTCATCTCAGGGCTTTGCCAGCTACGCTGCTTATATCCTAAGACTCTAGCCTAGCACTGTTGGCCAGAACTCCCTGGGATGAAGTCCACTGCGGTGGCCAGGTGACTACTGAACCACCGGAATGAGACCGAAGGACTGGTATAGATTGACTCAGATTTAGGTTGGCACTTGTGCTATAGCCAGTGGCTACTGTGTTGAGCAGTGTAGCCTTGGACTGTGACAATGCAATCAGCAAAGGGCCTTCAGACCACATTTTGCTCCTACTTGGCTGTGCTCATGTGCCAGTCAGGGAGATTGTAAAACTGTAGGCTCATTCAGGAGACTTCAAATTTATTTCCAGGGAGCTCCCAAGCACAATGAGGTGACTGACACCGGGTGTTCCTAGGTCTAATTCTCTTACCTCTCATTTGTGTTTAACTGAGGAGGAAATCGAGACAGAGAAGAAAGATATTCTAGGTCTGAGACAACCTCAGAAGGATCTCACTATGAGTGTCTCAAGTCTAAGACTGATTTGCCTTTTTTTAAAATTATTTATTTATTTTTAATTTTATGTGCATTGGCATTTTGCCTGTATGCATGTCTGTGTGAGGGTGTTGGATCCCCCGAAACAGGATTTACAGACAGTTTTGAGCTGCCATGTGGGTGCTGGGAATTGAACCCAGGTCCTCTGGAAGAGCAGCCAGTGCTCTTAACCACTGAGCCATCCCGATTTTCTTTTAACACAGTATGTGAGCCAGGTGGTGGAGGCACACACCTTTAATCCCAGCACTTGGAAGGCAGAGGCAGGCAGAGCTCTGTGAGTTCAAGGCCAGCCTGGTCTACAAGAGTGAGTTCCAGGACAGTTAGAGCTGTTACACAGAGAAACCCTGTCTAGAAAAACCAAACAACAACAACAACAACAACAACAACAACAACAAACAAACAAACAAAACAAAAATGTAGTATGTATATAAAAATACAATCTCCAGAATTCACATGGGGAAGGAGAGAACTGACTCCTACAAGCTGCCGTCTAGCTCCTTGTAAGGTCTCCTCTGCTCTCAGACAGCCAGACAGACAGACAGACATAGATGGATGATAGATGGAAGATAGATAATAGATAGATGATAGATAGATAGATGATAGAATTAAAAAAAAATCAACAATTTGTTGGGCTGAGCATGGTGTAATTCCAGCACAGGGAAGGCTGAGGCAAGAGGATTGGAGGCAGGAGGTCACCCTGAGTTACAAAACAAGACCTTGTCTTAAAAACAAACAGCAAGCAAGCAAGCAAACAAAACCCCAAAACAAAAACAAAACAAAGAATAGAATAAAAAAAAAATCAATCCAAACCAATCCACAACACCCTAAAACTTGTTGAGTCTCTGAGGTTCAGTAAAACAATAGAACACAGGCCCAGATCCTCTTCCAATGCAGATTCTACACCCACTTGTGAACATTTTCTCCCTGTAGATTAATTCCCCACAATATAAAAACAGGGTAGATAAGAGGGAAGGCTTAGTTTTTTCCATGGTCCCCGTGGTATCTTACTGGGTAAAAGGAGGAAGCTGGGGACACAGCGGTGACAGAACCTGACCAGCAGTGACTTCCAAATCGGGGTCTCCTTTTTTGGGAAGGCAGAGTTCATTACAACACACCCTTGTCACTAGCCCTAACCCTAACTCTATAGGACACCCTGGGGATGGCTCGGGCAGTTCCCGTTGTTGTTAATGGTGGCGCTCACCCTGCTCTCTCCCACCGGCTCGCTCCCTGCAGCATCAACCACGACCCCAGCCGCATTCCTGCGGACTTGCCCGAGGCGCGCTGCCTTTGTCTGGGCTGCGTGAACCCCTTCACCATGCAGGAGGACCGCAGCATGGTGAGTGTGCCAGTGTTCAGCCAGGTGCCAGTGCGCCGCCGCCTTTGTCCGCCACCTCCGCGCCCTGGGCCCTGCCGTCACCGCGTCGTCATGGAGACCATCGCGGTGGGTTGCACCTGCATCTTCTGAGCCACCAAGCCAGTGGCCACTGCGACTCCTTCCCCGCACCCACTGTGTTCCTGCAAGGCTGATAAACAGTAAATGCTGTCTTTTGTAAAGGAAGGCATTGGGCTTGCTCCTTGTGACTAGGAAACTAAAATTGTGTCGGGGTTGGATATCCCCGAGAAACAAATTCCAGATCAGTTTGAGTGAGCATTTCCCAGGACTCGGCCCTCAAGAGTGAACCAGGCTATTAGAAAATGCTGGGCTGGGGATGTAGTTCAGTTAAAGAGTCTGCCCAGCACAAATGACGTCCCGAGTTCCATCTCTAGCACTACATAAAACAACAGGGTGGTGCACATCTGTAATACCAGTAGTCTGGAGGTGGGTAAGTCAGGAAATTCAAGGACACCCTTGGCTATGAGTATAGCCTCGGATACACGAGACTCAGGAAACAAATACTGCTTCCATTTCTATCTCTTGAGATGGTGGCAGACTTCCTCTGCGCTCTTCCCTGTAGCAGCTGTATAACTGGAACACGGCTGTCATAAGCCGATACGCTACCCAGCTGACTCAAGTTACTAAGACACACAGTCCTAAAAGGCTGCAGTACCAAGCTAGGGCTCAGCCTCTCCTGGATGCTGTGGCAATGACCCTTGCCACAAATGGGAAGGGTTGCCCTTAGCCCCAGGGTTCTTTGCAGAACAGACCCAACCTCCCCCTAAGGGTCTCTGGTAGCCCAAGAGGTCCTAAATCAGCATCAGCATCTTCTCCCCCTCTTTTTATTCTTCTTTTTTTCTGGAAGGGGAACTCTGATTTTAAACACTCAAGAGCTGCAAGGCAAACTGGATAGGTCATTGTTCATCCAGCCACTTATCTGCAGCACTAGGTACCAGTGTCTGCGATCCTCAAAATGTCAGTCAGCGCGAAGCTTGTCCAGGCAGACTTCTGACTCAGTACTCAGAGGTGCTGACTTAGGTGGGGTTTGCTATTTTTCCACTTGAGTGTTGTGGCCTCTTTTAATCTCTACTACTGTGGGGGAGCTGATGCTGCCATCTGTGACCGCACTTGGAGAACCACTGGGTCACATCAAAACATTCTACTGACCAACCCCGGCAGCATGGGGTTATCCTAAAGCCCATACTGGGTCTTGCCCTGATACTAGCTCTTTCCCCTTGTAATTGAATCTTAACCCCCTGGGCCTTCTAATCCCACAGCAAATCCCCAATCAGCTGTCCTGGGCTCTAAAAATACCTTGCCTCCCCCCAGGACAGCTGAGGGGCTGGGTTATTTTCCGTGGGTGAGATGAACTAACACGTTAGAGCTAACGTCCTACAAAGGGTCAATAGCCCACTGCGGGAACATTTCGCTCGGCTGCTTGAGCCCATGTGCGTACAACAGCTTCAGTGTGGAATGCTTTAATTGTCTAATTCACGAAAAGCCAATGGTTAGGTATGTGCCTGTCTGGGCTGGAAAGTAACTTACCTTTTTTGGTATTGTTGTAGAGTGTATACTGGTTAAAATTACCCTGGGAAGTTTTGGCCTGGTTCCAGACACATGGAAAATAGACTCCACATGCCAGCTCATGCCGATCCCTTTAGCAGCCACTTCTGTAGGGGTTGCTCGTCTTTAAGGCTCCCACAGATGTGCTCTGGATCTATGTGTGCCCCTAAAGGCAGGGTATCGAAGTCGGGCTTTGTCCATGCTAAGGAGTTGTTTTACCACTTAGCTATCTATCCTCCAAGCCCTATGCTCTCCGGGTCATAGGCCCATGCGATGGGTACAACAATTTCCAAGGCTTCACTGGAAGCCATTGTGGGAGAAGGTGAGCTACAGGAGTCCTGGGGGAGCATGGGTAGTGTAGGCAGGAGGAAAGCCTCTTCTTGGCGAGAAAGGGCCATCCTTATAGAGGGTGTGTTAGAATCTTAGAGATGCTTAGTATACACTTGTTATATAAGGTGAAGACTTTCCCTATTGCTGGGTTCTTATCTGAAACGAGCGGATGAGATTTCACTATCTCCAGGCTCTTGCCCAGTCTTTACAATCCTGGGACTTCAATGTGTAAAAGCCTCTCCTATAAAAAGGGTTTTTGTTTGTTTGTTTCTTTTAGTGAGAGCGCAAGAGAGAGAGAGAAAGAACATACTTGTGAAACTCACAGGGTAACTTCTGGGAGTCAGTTCTTTCCTTCCACATGTGGGTCCTGGGGTTGAACTGTCTTCAGGCTTGCCAGCTTGTCTTAGTCCACTGACCCTCTGGCTGGCCTGAAACTTGGCCTCTTGGGCCTGAGCAGGGGAGCTTAGGCCTTGGAAAAAGTGAGTCTATAAGGAATCTAGAAACTTACTTGAGTCTAAAGCTAAATACACACTTCCTAGAACATGACATAGATAAAATGCAGAGGCTTCCAGGGACCTACCGTCTGCCTCCTTACTTCCTTTGGCGCTGCTTCATGAGTGGGTAAGAGCAAGGCCTTCCTTAGCGCCCTGGCCCCAAAGACGGCTCGGGTCATCTGCTCTACAAAGTAGAATATCTGTATAGAGTTTTGTGGGTTTCTTTTCTTTTCTTTTCTTAGACAGAATCTCATGTAGCCCAGGTTGGCCTCAAACTTACTATGTAGCCATGGAAGACCCTGAACTTCTGATCCTCCTGCCTGACTACTGGATGCTGGGATTACAGGCAGTGATGTGATGAGTCAGGGCTTTGGAGCACACTAGGCAGGGCTCTAATGAGTGAGCGACGCTCTTAGCCCTGTGTGCAGGGTTTTAAGTACTCATTATACTGTGGACTACAGACGGTAAGGGTGGTGTCATTCTGCATTGCTGGTCAGACTCACAGGCTTCTCTGGGCCTGGGCAGGGAATGTCTGTTCTAGCTTGAGAAGGCAAGGTGGGCCCTGGGATGCTTTCAGTTGGCCTGTGTTCCCCTTTTTGGAATCTGTCCTGCAAATGATGAGACCACGAGATGAACTTGAAGGCTTGGGCAAGCGGGCCTCAGGGCATTGAGAGTGGATTTGGTTTGGAGCTGTTTAGGCCTGCCTGTTCAGGCAAAGGAAGGGTCTGAAGTACAGCCAGCTTAGCCTTAGCATGAAGTCCCAGCCCAGGGAAGGACCTGCCCTGGGTCTAAGCCATACTCTCCTTAGGGACCCAAGGGGGCGGAGTCAGCTGAGTATGCTTTGTATTGTCTTTGCTCCTCTGGCCCAATACCAGGCATACGATGGCAGCCTGTGCCACCTGCATTTCAAAGTTCTCTGGAAGACACCATCACACGATTTGACGTCACTAAACTTGAGGGTTGGGGGGTGCATAGGTACCTCCACAGCAATGACATTTGGATAAGACCTCTGCTCCCAAGATGGTTATTATTCAAATCTGTGATTCTAAGCAAATCGGTTTACTCTATCACCCTATTACCAGTGTCTGAAGCCCAACCAATCAGCACTAGGCCCTTCTCTGGCCACAGGCATTGGTGCAGGGCTAGTCCACATGGCCTATCTGTTGACACTGCAGTCTTTGGCTGTGAGAGGGACCTGGGGATTGCCCTGTGCTCTGCACATGGCCTCAAATGGTTTTACCCAGTAAGGCCTTCACTGTTCAGGGAGTGTTCATTTGTTCTTCTACTTCAGCCAAAATTTGTTTTACTGGGGTGCCAGTCTTACGGCTTCTGTAATAGCCACCACGTACAGACCGTCTCTTCACCGCCGCCACCATCACCCGGTAAAGCATGAACCTTCGTTCCGGTGTGAGTCTAACTGCACGGGGGTAGTTTCTGCTCTTATGCTGACCTCAGTTAAGGCAAAGCTCCAGACTGGGGAAGTTCTAGAAAACTAAGTTGAGACCTCAGACAAATTATGCTGTCTCTGTGAGCTCTTGCCTTCCCTGCAGCAACACAGAGCCAGATGAATCTTAGGATTATCTGTTGGGCAAGCTTCTGGGCTACGATCCTCTGGCAGCCATATTTCCTCTGTACATCCAAGCCTCTCCCCTAAAGCACAGTTTAACAAGTCTGAGTGGTATGTGTGTGTGTGTGCGCTTCACGCTGGCTCCACTCCTGTGTGCTCCCTCTGCAGAAAGGCCCAGGTCCAAAGGAACAAAGTCAAGTTTCACTTCAAAAGCTGATTTGGGAGCGTGGTGGTGCTGAGACTTGAACCTGGGGCTTCATGCATTCCACCGAGCTACGCCTGTGACCCTGGATGTGTCAAAGCCAAGGCCTCACGAATGCTAGTACTAAACTACATCACCAGCCCCAGTCTACTGATCTTTATAGGTACAGAAAAAGGAAGGCACAATTCTCTACATGAAGCTAGAACCAAAGAAAGCACCAGATTAACCTCTGAAGAACTCCATCCCACACTGTCCTTTCCTCTGCTCAGGGGAGGAGTTCAGGGGTGAGGTAGGACCACTCTCTACCATCCAAGGACTTGCCTCCTGGGCAAGACAGATTCATCACATGACTCCTGTACCCTTACATAAAGAGAAAGGCCAGTCCCTCCAGGGGGCCGTCAAAAGCTTCCGTTCTTCCTATGGCTCAACCTGTTTCCATTTTTCTACCTGATTGACAGGTAGCCCAGGGCTCTACTGATGGCAATGTCGGAGTAAATGTCATGTCAATCATACGCAGTGCTGCTGGGAGGTGCGGTGATGGTCTTGAAGAAATTCTGAACTGGAACCCACACGAAACAGCCCATCCAAACGCTGACATTTCCTGACTTGCCTTCTCTTTAGGTAGCTGACAGTAAATGTTTTACTGTAGGCTGTGCCTTTGGGGGGTGGGTATTGGAAGACGGAAAGGAAAGAAAGCTGAGTTCTCTGTTATATAGTCCTTCTCTCAGACATCTTGGCTTCTAGTGAGAAAGCGAAGTCAGAAGTGGCTTGGAGTCTGAATTTTTATTTTTTCTTGAAAAACAGTAACAAAAAAAAAAAAAAAAGAAAACCCAAGAAAGAAATAAACAAAAAAATCACCCAACCCCCTCCCCCCTAAACACTGGCCAGAATTTCCTTCCCTTTTTTTAACCTCTCCCTTAAAAAACAAAAAAGG